ATCCCTGGAAGTGTCCAAGGCCAGGCTGGATGGTGCCTGGAGCAGCCTGGGATAGTGGAAGGCACCACCCATGGCTGGGGAGTGGAATGGGATGAGCTTTAGGCTGCCTCCCAGCCCATCCCAGTCTGGGATTCCATGAGAATGGCAGGGCACCGACGGGCCCGTTCTGTCCCCGCAGGGCTGGCGCTGTGACAACTGCCGCAGGCCCAGCGTGGAGGTGGCCCCCGAAGGCTCCGCTGGCCACACCTACACACAGTTCACACAGAGGTACCACCAGGCCACCAACACCGTGAGTACAACTTTCCTCCTCTGCCCCGCCCTGCTGTGATTCTGGCTCAGGTGGCGGGGTGGCTGCAGGGCCCGAGCAGCGTGCGGGTTCGTGCTCCCAGCAGTGCATGACGGCCCTGGCACACACACACACACACACACACACACACACCTGCTTGAGCTCACCCTCCACACACACCCAGCAGTGCCACAGTCCCAGCAGCGCCTCGTGCATGCTCCGAGGCAGTAGTGCATGGAGTGATTTCCCAGCACAAAGCACAGCCAGCACAGAGCTCTAACCGATTTCCTTCCCTCCTGACAGAACGTCAACTGCCCCATTGAGTGTTTCATGCCCCTAGATGTACAGGCAGACACACAACATCCACGGGGAAAGTAACTTCGAGCAAGACTCCTTGCGGCCATGGCAACAGACAAACCAAAGTGTAAATCCCTATGTGCCACCATTACCATCCAAACTGGAGTGATGCTAGCAAAAGTGCATCTAGTGAGAATGGCCCCCTGCTCTGGAGCCATTTTCCCAGCTTAAGCTCAACTCACAGCTTCTCCAAGCGCCACTCTTGGAGTGTTTCAGACTTTTCTCACGATTGATAGCGATTGTCTTGGTTTTGCTCAAAGTGTTGAATTCTAGTCGATATTTTCAAATTTAAAGTGGGCAAAGAAAAAAAAAGGGGGAGGAGGGGGAGAGGTGCCAAATGACAAATTTGGTGGGGGACCAAAATGCTGAGGGGGAGGGAGGGTGTAGAAATCCACGGTTCCTGTGCTATGCAAGAACATTTGAGTACAACAATGGTGAGGTTTAGGGATAGGAAAGTCCACCAAACACTTCTGCTTTCACGTAAGCATGCAGCCAGCAATAAGATAGGAACAGCAAATCCAATCACTGTGATATTTAAAATATGCACAGTCTTAATTCTTTCTTGATGATCCTAGTATTTTTCTAGCTGTATCTTTATATCTCATACTGTTATTTATCAGTTTTGTTCCCCTGACCTTCAAGTGTTTTTATATGGGAATAAAATGTATGGAAGACACTTAGTATGCAGTTGACAAAAGAGGAATTTGGTGTAATTATGATCAGTGATTATTTTTATACTGTAAGTGCCAAAGCTTTACTACTGTGGAAAAGAAAAGAAACCAACTCTTTTAATAAAAAGATTTACAAACCAGACCTATAGTTTAAGTGATTCTCTTTGCTGCCGTGGAATTTAGGATGAAGATGATTATTCTCAGCTGGATAATTCTGAGGTGGATAATTCTGAGCGGGATGATTCAGAGCTGGAGTAACATTGCCTTGACAAGAGATGGAACAAACAGCCCAAAGAAGAGTGAAGTAAACCTGGAGAGGATATTGGTAGAGCAGTTTGTTAATTAAAGGCTTCCAGCTGCACCCCTGCCCCTGTAGAGCGCAGACAGTGGGTAGGTATGGCACGGGCAGGAGGCACAGGCTTGCTTTGGGGCAGCAGGGGAAGGGAGGGAAAGGCAAACAGCCCCTGCTTTTGCACATGAACTGAGCTAGAGCTGTTTCCATACCTAGAATTAAATAAGCTTTCAGTGGCTGAGTTGCCAGAATTAGTGAGACTGTCCAAACCTGTGAAGCTGAATGTGTTTCAAGCGTTGAAACCCAGCAGGAGGCGGGCACCAGCTGGGTCCCAGCCTGGGTGTTACAGGCACAGGCCCCTTTCTTGTCTCCTGTGCTTCTACCTCATGGTGGGGAGGGAGGTAAACAAAATGCTCCTCCCAACTCTTTTCAAACAAAACCAGTCTTGATTAGAGTGATCCAAGCCAGCACTGAGTCCCTTTGCTTGCGCTGCCAGGACCTGTACAGCCTTTGCAAACGCAGAACAGGACAGGTCCTGTCAGGATTGCTCAGCCCCCTCCCCTCGGCTGCACACGCACTGTACTGCTCCAGTCACTGGGATTCTCTGACCCAATAAAGCATCACGTGAAAACACCATTTGGCTCCAAGTTGCTGTCAGGGATTGCTGTCTACAGAGCGCCCAAAACCCCTGCAAAGAGTAGGATGATTGCAGCAACAGTCAGTTCTACCCCACCTGTGTTCAAAAGCCAAACACATCCCAAAAAAACCTGAGAACTAAAAGTGGCCCAGACAGAGACACAGAGGAGTCATTTCCCATTAAACTAGATTGGTTTTCCCGAGTGAGGGCTACGTATTTTGGACCAGAGAGCAAATCTGCGACAATCTTTTCATTGTCACTAAATAATTCACTACACCAACACACTGAAGAGGAGTCCATAGCCTTCCTCCTCTCCTCTGTCACATCTCTTGTACCAGCAGCAAAGACCTCCCCAGCCCAATGGGGAGCATTTCAAGATAAAATAATTTAAACAGCACTTTTCCCCAAGCTCCCTGCAGAAGTTTGTCTGTGCCTTAAAGCACACGGGTGCTCACAGCTATGCCAAGCCCTGCTGAATTTAAGCCCTTGGCAGCTTTTTCCAGAAGAGGAAGCACAGCTCCACAGGGTTTGTCTGCTCAGCTTTGGGTAGAGCCCAGGAACAACCAGAGTCAGGGCTCTCTACTCCAGGGAAAAGTCCCTTGGTGGCTGAAGGAAAAAATAAAACCCCTCTGTTAGTGCCTGCCAAGGCCCAGAATGATTCCTCCCTGCTCTCTGTTCACTTCCACGTTTTGGGAGCTCTTGTCCTGCCAGCACAGGACCTGCCAGGGGCAAGGTGCCACATGTTGACTGCAAATTCCAGCCTGGCAGCAGCTGCTCCTCAGAACACACCAGCTGAAGGGACATTCCCTACATTCCCTTCTGGGAAACAGACACCGAGCAGAGCTCAGAGTCTCCTTTTAATCCACATCCGAGGCAGAAGCAGATCAGTGGGGTTCAGGGGGGACACCTTGAGACCATCACAGCCCTTTTCCTACAACCTCTCTCACAGCTCCAGGGGAAGCTCCCTTCAGGGGGAGGGTACCAGGCTAGCTGGAATTGTCACAGCAGCCCAGGGGACAAACCATTCCCAGAGACATTCCTGTGAAGTCACCTCACACCTGGAACCAGACCAGAGATTTTTCTCAGCTTTTATCCATTCAAGCAAGGCATGATTGTCAAGAACTCTTCTTTGGGATGTTAACCAATCCAGTTTTCCCCCTCTGACAACTCCTGTCTCTCCTTTAACCTTACCACAGGCACAGCAGGAGGCAAAACCATCCCTGTGCAGGTGCTGAGATGTGTGCAAGTCACGCAGCACGAGTAAGACAGCAGCCAGGTCCTAGAGAGGTATCAGCAGAGGTAGACATTTCCTGTCTTGTGCAGATCTCACCTGGAACATCAGTACCTATCAACTCCCTTCAGTAAAACCAACAGTGCCCCAAGGACAGCAAAGAAAGGATCAGGGGAATACACAGAAGAGGAGCTGCCAGATTCTTACTGCCAGCTCTGTTTTAGCCAGTGCTGTGGAAGATGCAGGTGAAGAATGGACAGAGATTCCCCAGAGAACCTCCTGGCAGGGTCTGTGCCAGTTCCAGCCACAACAGCAGCACAGAGAAGACATTTAGGGAACACTGTGGATTCTTCTCTGTGGAAGAGTCCCAAACCCCAACCTTTAAAGTGAAACTCTAAGCGGTAACAATTCACAGGAAGCAGCAGCACAGAAAAGTCAGAGGACAGGGTTTGGGTTAGCACAGCAAAGGGGCCAGCCAGGAAGAAGTGGACAATTTTTATTTTGGATTGCTGTCTTAATCCACACCAAAAAGGCAGAATGCCCTCTACCCTGTCCTGTCTAATCCACTTGGAAAGAATCCACTGTAGAGATCAGAAAAGACAAAATAATTCACTGTAGAGATCAGGAAAGAGAGGACTCTGCTCCCTTTCAGGCTGGAGCAGGGGCAGATGGAATGACAGTGTTAAAGGGAAACCAGAGTGTGGATTATGGTCTCTTTGCTTTGCTCCATTTGAACCAGTCTGGATCAAACAGGTAAAATGAAAGCCATGGCCACAGTCACAGCATGGCAGCAGCAGAGCCAGCAGCACACCCCAAATTTCCCCTCTCCCAGGTCCATCTCCCACCTGGGCAGCCCAGCTTGAGCCAAGGGCACACGTGCACACTCCCTGCTCAGCCTACAGAAGTGTTTATTGAAAAACTTTGGGCTGCATCTGGGCAAAACTGAACAGATTTCATAAAATGGAACCAAAAAGAGAAAATCCCTTTGAAATGGGCACGGTGATTGCCAGGAAAAATGTGTCTGGGCTCATCCTTCACTTCTCTCACCATGCTGCAGATTTTCACTTTGCTTTTTCCCAAACTTCAAGAGTACAAATCTGCTTAATGCAGACAGCAGAAAAGGGAAGTGGCTCCAGACACTTCCCCCTTTCCAGCCTGTGAACTCTGCTCCCAGTATGGGGACTGGCCTGTCAATGGGTCTCCTACCTTGGAGAAAGCAGTGAAGCACTGCCAAAGCACAGGCTGTAGGGCAGGATTGAGAGCACCAAAGCCCAGAGTGCCTCGTGCAAAGGACCTGCTCCCCTCTCCTCCCAGGGAAGAGGATAATGGATTAGAAATACCTGCTGACTCCAAAAACCAGGACAACACAGATTGTTATCAGTTCCACGAGAAGCTGAGCAGAAGCCAGGCTTTCACACCCTTCCACAGGTCATCTAGTGAATTAGTCAAGTCTGGACCAATAAAAACTACCTCAAAAATAAACCTTTTTCCTAAATTTGTGTGACAGGGACCACAGAGACAGGACATAGCTAACAACTGTATGTTTATTTGCAAAAGACACTGATTTTCTACACTGGAAGCCAATCTTGTACCACTTCCTTCTCCCTGAACACGGGGAAAGGCCTCTTCACAGTGACCAGCTCTTGCTAAGCACAGGCTGCAGGAGCCTCCCAGTTGCAGCAGTGACATTCAGGTCCTGGCTGCTGGTGAGGCTGTGCCCAGAGAGGGCTCAGTGGTGGAAGAGACGGAGGTTGGTGTGGATGAGGGTGATCCCCAGCTCGTTGCAGGCCTCGATCACGACATCGTCGGCAGCCGAGCCCGACGGGGCGGCGATGAACTGCACTCCACTCTGCACAGACAGGGAGGAGTGCAAGGATCAGAGGATGGAAACCCAAAATCCCCCTCAGAAGAAGCTGGCAGTCCCAGTCTTTCATCCACATCCCACTGAACAAAGGCTTCCATCCCCAAAACTGCTCCTTTAGGGGAGCAGGAAGTTCTCTTCTGCTGCTCAGAAATAACCCTAAAATGGTTCCTCTGGAAGCCTTGGCTTGATATTCCTAAATGGTTTAATCAACTTTAATCCTCTATTCATCCCAAATCGACAAACTGAGTAATGACTGGATAATTACTGTCCCTGTGAGAGCAGTAACCACCAGGAACATCCTTCCCAGGATCTGCTATCCCAGTGCAGGGATTTGCTCAGCAGAGCACACAAAATGAAAAGCTCAGGCTGCACAGCCCTGGAGCCACCTGGCCCTGCCATGACCTTACCCGCTTGGCTCTGTCGACGTTATCCCTAAAAGGGAAGAAGGCATCGGAGCTGAGGGACACACCAGACAGCTTGGCAATCCACTGCTTCTTCTCTGCTTCCGTCAGCTGCTTGGGCACCTCTTCAAACAGGGCCTGCCACTTCACCAGGTCCTCATCCTGCAGGCACGAGATGCCAGCTCAGCCCCAGAGCACACGGCTGCCAGCACTTCCCTGCCAGGGGGGTGAGTGATGGCCCCTGCTCCGTGACTCTGCTGCTGGGAACTTCATACCAGGGGGGTTAAAACACCGCCACCATCAGCTCTTTCTGCATCCTTTTAACTCCTTTCCTCTCCTCACCACAGCACCTGAGGGATTACTTCTCTCCCTTCTTGAATTCCAAGATGCTCTGCCTTGGAATTTATGGATGCCAGCAGGCATCTGGGAGATGACTTAACCCATGACCTACAGCAGCTCTGTTTATGATTCACCTTCTGAAACAGCAACCGATCCAATTCTTACCCCTTTAAACAAGCAACTGCTCACACGGTGATTCACAAGGCTCCTAATCCAGCTCTTGGCTTTTGATACTTAAAAAGGACATGCTATTTTGTAATGGGGAGGTCAGAGGGATTCTGAGAATCCAAAGTGCCACACAAACAGCTCTGTGTGAGGAGGTGCCACTGACAGGGCAGGGAGAACTGGAACATCAGCTGGAGCTTCACCCCATCCTCACTGCTGGGAAGAACCAGGAGCTGAAGCCAAGCTGCACACTGAGGCACAGGGCAGGCTGCAGCTCTGGGGGCTGTGGGTGCAGCATGGGAGGGGCACACCAGGACACTTTGCCACAGGGCCAGTAAATGACCTTGGGGGGGATCACCATCCTGGGCCCAGGATCTCTGGAGTCACCCCTTACAACACACACCAGCTCTAAGTGCTCCACAAAGGCCTGGTCTGGCAGGGGCTGAGCTGCAGGGGAAGCTGTGGGCAGCCCTCACCTCTCCGATGGTGTCGGTGACGTACTGATCGATGGCGTTGGAGATCTCAGCCCTCTTCACACCGGCCTTGAACTTCATGGCCAGCACACGGGGGTGGTGCCGCAGCCACCAGTTGTTGGCCTTGTCCCCAGCCAGGCGCGTGCAGTGGATCCGCGACTGCTGCCCCGCGCCCATCCCGATCACCTGCAGCACGGGGACAACAACAACAGAGCTATGGTCCACACAGGCTGCTAGGAAAGACCTCCCCCAGTTCTGCTGCTCCTCAGCCAACAGGGGAAACTGTAGGTAATTAGTGGGGGTAATCTGGGAAACGCCTGCATTCCCCATCCTGTCAATTGCTCACAGGGCCAGCTGTCTGCACTGCTAACTTCTACAGCTCCTTTGAGCTGACAGTCATGCTCAAAAGATTCATGTTCTTTCACCCTTCTAAACACCACAGCCCCAGCTGTCAAACCCTTAACCCCAGGAGAGCGATACAATTCTGGCTTCCTGCCTCTTCTGGAAAGGGGCACTTCAAGTCAGACTGTTAATGTCTGAGCCCAAGTCACCCACGCACCATCATCTCTCCGCTGAGTCAGGCACACACAGCTTAACCACATCAGCTGAGAGGTGCAGCTTGTCTGGCCAGGCTGATAAGGAAGTACACCCACTGCTCACTCAGGAATGCTGGTCAGTGGCACCGTTACATCCTATGAATTGTCAAAGCCCTGGAGATACCACACGTGCCCTATGCTGCCACCTGCCAGAATCCAGGCTTTCTGAAATAGCTGCTGCTAACCCTATCTAATAGCACTTGTGCTTGATCTCTAACACATAAACAAAATCCACAGTGGTTCCATCTCAAGGAAGCTGCTATGAAAATACAACTCTGGCTCAGCTTCTGCAGCCAGACCCAAACACCAGGGATGTCACACTTGGGCTGGTAACTTTTGTCCATCCTGGAGTCCCTCTTCCTACAGAGAGCTCCTGCCGCTTCAGTCCAGAGACCTGACAGAAAACAAGTCTCTGCCATCATTTCCTGCTCAGCCACAGCTGAGCTGTTCCCCAGACTGCTCTCCAGGGAAATGGTGCTGAGGCTCCAGGTGCTGGCCAGTGCCTCAGAATTCCCAGCTCAGACTGGGACAGATGGTAAAGCCGTAAGTGGCAGGCTGCCCTCAAAGAAATGACTCATTTGTCTTCCCATTCATCAAGGCACAGTGACTTCACCTCTTACCAGAACCATAAAATGTTCTGCTGGATCCTGTTCCCCCAAGGAGCAAATGAAAGGCTTGGGCAGCTATCAGATATAATCTGCTGAGCCGTAACTGAAGTCATCAGCGTGTAACAAACCCACAGGGATATTTGTGGTAGCACGAACACTGAACAGATTCAGTTTCTTACACCTTAGTGGCACCTTCCCCCTGACAAACACTGCTGATGTCCAACTCTGCTCTCAACCCACCCACTTAAACTTGCAGGGGACCCTGAACCCCAAAGGAGCCCGACAGCAGCTGCACACTGATGTGTTATCACTCCCACAGAGGTTCATCCTCCCTCCCTGCACAGAGGAGAGGGCTGGCTGTGTCCCACAGCACACCAGGAACTGCCACCCAGCCCTTCAGAGAGGGACCAGCAAGGTTAGGCTAAGGCAGGAATTTTTAGCTGGAGATGCAGATGTTGGAGAGCACCCCAACTGAGTGCTGCTACCAGGGGCCAAAATACCATGAAACATTGCCAAGTTTCTAATATTTGGGATGCCCTGTATCCTTTTCCAGCCAGAAAGGTGTCTCAATCTTCATCACATCCTTGTGAGCTGTGGCCTGGCACTGTGATGGAATAGAGTTCTCTGCTACCTGTCAGCATCCAAGAAACTTTCTAAGAGAGCCTTTTCCTTTCCTCTGTGAACAACACAAAATATTTCACGTTTTTTGTGACCTGAATTTTGTTAAGAGATGAATAACTAAATTTTGGCTTGTATTTGAAAACTCCAAAATGGCAGGGACTTTGTACTTCAGTTGATCAAAGTGATGCAGCCTGTAAATTCTTCACAAGCACCCCCACATCTACAGAAGTTTATCTGTAACACAGGCTCAAGCCATTGTTTTGCCTTTCTTAAAGTACAGGTTTTGATGGAACACTGCTGGGGAAGATTTCCTTAATCCAGCCTGGAATTTCTGGTCTAAAGAAGAGAAATCAGTAGGTTGAGCTTCTGATTTAATAACACAACCTCTAGACTCGTTCCTGCATCTCCCCTCACACTGGCCTGTACCTATTCCCTGTCTTTTCCACTCCTACACAAAAATTAATTATGTTTCTTTCAGAGCTTAATCTCCTGGGAATCCAAAAGTGCTTAAGCAGAGCCTATTAAGTGTGAGCAGTGAAAGGAGACAGCAGCACAGGGTGAGTAGAAAAAAAAATAATAAAATAAATCACTTAATAGAAAAAAGACTGGGTGAAAATTAAGAATTACTTGACTAAAAACACTTTGGTTCACAGGAGAGTCAAACACACTCCATAGCTGGAATGCTGTGCAACAGCACGGAGTGGATGAGACGGATAATGCCCAAAGGACTCTTGCAAAATGATCCAGACTGGTCTGGGTCTACTCAGATTTTCCCTGGATAATGAATGAAAACAAAAATCCCAAAGACACTTGGAAATATAAAAATCTAATAAAGGACTTGACCACTGGGAAGACAAACAAAACAGTGAAGTCACTGGGAAAGCATAAGGTAAATTAACAGGTTTTTCTTATGCTACCATACAGAGAATAAAGAAATAATAATTTTAAATTGCTCATTTAAAACATGATGGTGTCATTAAAGCAAGCGTAAATCAACGTGGTACAAGCTGAAAGTCAGCCAGAACAAGTGGAAGTGTTTATTGCAATTAGTGGCAGCTGGCTTCCAGCAAATTAAGTGACACTCAGGTCCAGAAATGCTTCCCACTCCAGACTTTCCTGGAATGTACTAACACAGCTGCCTTGCTGGAGGGGCTGATCCACCCCTGAATCCAGTGGTGCCAGACTTAAACATTCTGGATGTCTCATACACCAGTTTTCCTAGGCATCCCCATTCCTTAGGGATGCTGTGAGGCTGAAATAACCCCTGGAAAACCAAAATCAGTGGGACTGAAAGCAAGCTGGACTTCCCAGGCTTGGCTCATGCCACCCAAACCATGTCAGATCCTGGAAGAGGAAGGTGCTTCCCACATGAAAATCTGCAAGCCACTTCTGCAGCCCAGCCAGCTAAACCTCCCTGCCTGCCCAGGCTGCTTCTCCCTGCTCCCTCCTGCCCTCTCCCTTCCATGTGGTACATCCATTACCACACACACTCTGGAAACATCTGCAGCACCACGCTCAGCCCAGACTTGCAAAAGCACCGGGGAAATTGGAAATTCCTGCTGTGATGAGGGGAAAGCAGCAAAGACAGCGACACCTTTGTTCTGGGGCTATGAGATCTAACACTGCTGAGTGCAGAGAATCATTTAAAAGCAAAAAACAAGCCAACATGAAGCAGAATAAAAGACAAATGCTGGATCTCCAGAGACATCTTCTGAGGAACTACACAGCCCACGACCCCAGGAAGTCCTGTGAGACAGCACTGCAGCGTTTTCAGGCTGTACAAACAACCTGACAAACACACATCAGCGCCAATGCAAGGAGAGCACTGCAGCTCGAGCTCAGTCTCTACCTGTAGGGTTCACTCTTTGATCCATTTTGCTCATTTATGATGTACCAAGCTCAAAAACATTCTCTGTATTTTTTCTTCTGTATTTCTTTTAAGTAATCCAAGCCTACTGAAAAACTTCCATGGAGAGCAAAGAGCCAGCTAAACAGCACCATTACAAGAATGATCTTCTGGCTAACAGTACAACTTTCAATACATTTACACCAACTTTTAGGTAAATTATTTAGGCTGAACACCTGATGACAACTTGGAAAGAATGGACATTTTTAAAATTCAAGATCCAAACTGAAAGAGGGTAAGTTTAGGTTAGATACTAGAAAGAAATTCTTCCCTGTGAGGGTGGTGAGGCCCTGGCACAGGCTGCCCAGGGAAGCTGTGGCTGCCTCATCCCTTCAAAGTATCCAAAGCCCAGTTGGACAGGGCTTGGAACAACCTGGGACAGTGGAAGGTGTCCCTGGCATGGCAGGGCGTGGAATGAAATGAGCTTTGATGTCCTTTCTAGCCCAAAACCACAGTGTGACCATATGATTCATAATCTCAATATGCACATTTGATAATGTCCCTATAAATTCCAACATCCATCATCAGCTTTTTAAAAAAAATATAATCAGGGAGAACCGAAGATTTTTATTGTCCCAGAAGGGTGAAAATAAGAAAGCTTATCCCATCTTTCTATGGAAAAAGTGAAAATAAAGAAGCATTTGGTCAGAAACCAGCTGAGAAACCTACTGCAATTTCCAAAGGCTCTACATTGACTACAGCACTCCCTGAGAAAAATGATGTTAAAGAACAGAGTAGTTAGAAAGAGATGACTCAAGGCTGCAGTGCAGAAGCACTTCAGAGCTTTTCCAGCCCCAGCATAGAAAGAGCCAGCCCTGCCACCACCATGAAAAAATGACAGCAAGGTTTTGAAGCAGCCTCTTGAGCAACAACTGTTCTGCACAGCACTGTGCAGGGCAGCTCCTCTGGACCTGTTCAGCAGTTCCCTGTGTGCTGGAGGGTTTCCCAGGCCTGCTGCAGTTTCCTACCTGCCCATCCTTGGCATAGCAGACAGAGTTGGACTGGGTGTACTTGAGAGCGATGCTGGCCACGATCAGGTCTCGGACAGCAGCCTCGGGCAGCTGGAACAGAGCACCACTGTCAGTGCCACCCTGACACCCATGCTACACCCCCAGCCATCACAGTTACTGAAAACAATTGTTTTGTTCAATTACCAGCAAATTTTGTTTAGATTAAACCCCATAAATGATTGGTTTGGCAGCTAATCTCCCAGAGAGATCAGGGGTAAGACTCAATCTTAGTGGGTTCCATCACTGGCCTTAAGCCCAAAATCTCCTCTGCATTTACTGTCATCAGATGTGCTCACAGGCAAAAAACAGGACCACAACAATTAGAACAGCTCCCAAAATCTGAAAGTTCCATTCTTAATTTATGGAAACTCTTTTCATTACCTCAATATTCATTACCTGCTTCTGAGCCCGTGACTAATCATGCGCTCATTAATGTCTGTTGTTTTTAATGAGAATGAGGTCAGAGACAAAGAAATTACTGAAAACTTTCTGGTGATGTGGGCTCCAGTTGCTGAGGACTAGCAGCCAGGCCAGAGTTTATACAAAACCATGCACACAAAAGGGTGATGTAAACAATGAGTCAGGAGATGTGATGGATCCTTAGCACTTGGCTGTCTCGCCATAAAAAACTGCACACAGCAGCTTCTTGTTTCCAACGAGTATTTACAAACACTGTGGTAAAGTCTGAGACAATGGGAAAGGTCCAGTGGTAAATTCCTTGATGAAGGCACAGCTGTTCATTCATTCCAGGTGTCATTAAGCTCATGTATCTCCCACACTCACATTTTTATTCTTGGTGACAATGTTCTTGAACAGCGAGCGGTCGATGACCGCGTTGTTCCTCTTCTGCATCAGGTTCAGGCCATAGATGGTTCGGACCTCCAGGTCATCGGGCTCATAGTGAGGATCCATCTGAAAGCCAAACACAGGCCAATAAAACACTTCTGGACCAAAACCTACAGTCTTGTAGCTTCCACACAAAGGGGAAAAATATGCACACACACACAGAGCCTTCCAAAGGCAGGCAGGAGTATCTGGAGCTGCTTCCTACATGCCTCAAGGTACAACTCCCAGCCCTCTGTGAAATTCAAGGAGCAGTGAATGTGATTTATTTATTCAGATTTTTGGGAGCCCTATCTGAGGCTTCAGACAGGAAACAACCCAGACTAAGGTGACTAAATAGGAGCGTGCACATGCTTTATGTGCTTTTCCTAATCCAATGAAATGTTTTAGACCAACTTTCCTTAGCATTTCTCTGCATTCAGCCCTGATGATGCAGGCTTCACCAATATGACCTCATCCTTGCAAAGTTAATTGAATTCCAGGAGGTAATCAGCTGCCATGACTGTCTGCAATTTCATTCTTTCTTGCCTGAAGCACCTGAGCCATCTTCTCCAGCTCCCCTGGCAGCTACACTACAATTGCAACTTCAGCTAAGCCTTGGATTTTCTTTTTGTGATGTTACAGAGAAGTTCTCTGCTCATTTGTCCCTCAGAGACAGCAGAAATAGGACCTGACAGCAATCTGTGATCCATGATTCATGTTCACCAAAACTGATTTTGGATTCCCAACAATCCCTGCAGGAACTAGAAAGGCAACCTAACACTGCCTTGACCACATAATATTAATATTGCTTGACAAGCATACTGGCTACAGCATGTGAAGGTGCATCATCTCAGGTCCAAAGTGTCTGTGCTTCCAGCTTCATCCATGATTGGAGCAGGGGTACAAACCTGGAGGACACAGTAAGCACCATTCTTCTTTTTGGAAAGGATTTTGAGAGCTTCTTCCTCATAGCCAGGAGCCACCACACCATCAGACACCTGCAACACACCGAGATTTCAGCTTCTGCCAGAGAAAAATGAGATGGGGTCTAAGCCTGAAAGCTCCACCAGGCACTTCCCTGCACTAAAGACACCTCTCTTGAGGTCTGTCTGTATCCTACAACAGCAAAAGCACTGTTACAGTATGGGTTTCAGTCCTGGGGAAAAAAAAAAACCAGCATAGCATTGTGAGCTCTTGGCAGAAGTTAGGAAAAAGCACCCCACATCCCTCTAATCAGAATGGAACTAATAAGTAATATCCTCCTCCAGGGGGAAACAGTTTGACCATGACATCCCCACTTCTCAGCCCTAACTGTAAACATGGCTTTAAAATCCAATAAATCCTCATTTCAGCAGTGATACTCTTGAGGAGGCAAAAACACTGGAAAAAGAGCTGTTAAGAGCATGGAAACTGAGAGTTTACATTCATCAGTGCTGTGAAGCGATACACAACTTTCACATTTGTGCCTTACAGTGTGGGTAAGGTTTTTTTCATTTTCAGCAGCACTGTACCAAGTGCTACCCTCACAAACCAGCTGAATATGTTCCTTCATTTGTTTGACATCATAAAATCACAGAATGGGTTGGTTTGGAAAAGGCCACCTCACTCCATCCTCCTGCTGTGGACAAGGACACCTCCCACTAGAACAGGTTGCTCCAAACCAAGAGATTCTGTGATTCTAAGGAAAAAGCACAGCTTTTGGGAAGGGGATAAGCCTACATCTAAGTGGCAGGCAGCAATCTATTTCCAAATTCCTGCCTTGGGCATGGGGCTGGCCATCAGCATTGCAGTCCTTCACTTCTCCCATGACAGCTGCTCAACCAGACACTTGTGACAGCCTAACCAGGGCTCCTCTCCAGAGGTTTGCAAGCACCTCGTGGAAAGCAGCATTGCCCAGCTCTGCTATTTCACACAGCCAGGTGCTAATTGGTAAGGGAAAAAAAAAAACCACCACATCAAAAGACCAGTGTAAATTCTGCATTCTGGATCAGAGGATTAAACAAACAGCCCAGTCAAAGTCTTCCTGGTAAAATGGGTCAATTTGCAACAAAAAGGCTGTCACAAACCAATGGCTGCATGTGAAAAGGCTCTCCTTGATACCCTGGAATGATTTGCTGCTGTCACTGACCTCTCTGGAGATGATCTTGGCAGTAGCCACGTCGCAGATATCAGACAGGGCAATGAAGTCACCAAAAGAAGACATCCGATCAGCACCTGAAAAATCCTGATTTTACTCATTTACCAAACTCTACAGCACCAGACAAAGAAAACTCTTCACTCCTACAGTCCAGTCAATTGCTGTGAGAGCTAAGATTTTAATCCCACAGCAAAAATAACCAAAAAAGAGGCCATAAAAGCAACAAGGATGAAAAATCCTACCTCAAACACATGGACCTTTATATATTCCCATAGTTCAGATATTCTTCCTTCTTCACTGCCTCTGTCAAAGCTCTAACTCTGTAATGACTACCTCCAGCACTGCAAGCAGCTCAGCTGTACCCTTGATGGCAAGAGGACAAGGAGAGGCAAGGATCACACAGAAAGATTTTAGATGGGAGACAGTTGGAAAAAAAGAGGAAAGCTTTTAGATGGCTATGCTCCCACCTGGCTTTTCCTGCAAGAAAGCAGACCCAGAAATGTAGCAACTTTTATTCTTCTTTCTTTTAAAAATAAGTATTTTCCATTTAATGGCATAGCTAAGGTGAAATCAATTCCCATCACAAATGCTCCACTACTCAGCAAGGTCAATTCTTCTGTCCCTGCCATTCTAAGGCTTTATATTTTCAGCAATCATGCAATGGTTTTGTGAGAGCAACATTCAAAGGTGGTCTGTGAAGAATGAACCCAAGCCAATATGCTCCTTATCAAGTCTGCCTTGTTTTTTGAAATCTGTGCAAATTTTCTAGGAATGCCTTGGAAAATGACAAATGTAGCAAAGTATCTCAGCTAAGCAAACTGGTTTTGTTTACTTGTTTTAACTTTTCTTTTTTTTTTTGTGAGATCTGAAGTACAAAAGCTTTAAAGAAAACCCCACCAAATATCAGACAGAAACATCTCTACTCAAGTTAAATATTCCTGAGCACCCCAAAGCTGAGCATGCTACCAGCACTGCTGTTTATCCAGATTCTTCAGTCAAAGCCCCACATAGTTATGTGTGTATGTACAAATCTAAATTTAAAAATACATCATCTTACAAGTCTTCTATATTCACCAAGGAACAGAATCCAAAGTGGTTTTTGCTCTTTCAAACCACATACAAGGGCTGCTCTCTTGGAAAGCAACTTCTGATAGGGATTCAGGAAGATCCTTATGGAGAAAACCCCTCTGGAGGAGGAGTGTGGTGGAAAGGGAAGAGCAGGAAGAGCTGAGGATGCTGCTCAGGTGCTGAGCCCCGAGCCCAGCTCTTTGGACAGGCTGGTTTGCTGTGGTTATTTGGAGCCCTCACCTCTGCTCCGGGCGTAGGCAGAGGCCAAGGGCGTCAGGGTCTTGTGGAAGTCGTGCACCATGCACACTTGGGCCTCCTCCTCGCTGAGTGGAACTCCAACAGCAGCACCTAGTGGGAAACACGAGCCAGGGCACTCCAGCTGCTGGTGCCTGCCCCAGGACCTGCCCACACAGCCGGGGGAGGGGGGCACGTCCCACCCTACCTGCGGGACTGACGTGCTTGAAGGAGGCTGCGGCCGGAATGCCCAGCGCCTGCTTCAGCTCCTTCACCAGCTGCCAGGCATTGAGGGCATCGCAGAGGTTGATGAACCCGGGAGAGCCATTCACTACTGCAAACACAGCACATGGACACATTGAAGCAGGCAAACCCCTCTCCCCACAGCCTGGAGAGCCAGCAGAAAGGGTTTCTCCCAGCGAGCACTCAAATCACTACAAATTCTTCTTGTTCAATGCCCCTGGCTCCTCAGCAACTGGTGGAGTGCCCAGAAACCCACACCAACAGAAAAGGCCATTTTAAGGCCTGCTCTCAAAACGTTTTGCTCTGGCCCTGAAAGAAGAACTGCTCGTACTGACATGGCAGTACTGTGAGCATTTCAGAAGACTGGAGGAGAAAAGATCATTTTAACAATAATCCACATCCAGAAGGAGTGAGCACAGCATTGTTCTGCCACCATACCGGGAGGCAGACCTGCAAGCAAATCAACCTCCAGTGCAGAAACAGAAAAGCTTCCTAAGAAGTCCCAGAGTTGAAAAGGGGAAAATGCTGCAACACAAAGTTTCACTGCTTATTCAGCAGGACAATGCCCACACACATTCAAAGCAGCCTCAAGAACAAGAGTAGCCAGACTCTCTCTCCAAAACAGGGGTTTCCCCTCACTACAACAATCCTGTGGCAAGTGGCACACCCTGAAAAACGGCAGAGAGACACATCAGACCTGTCCCAAATTTTTAAGTGGGGCCAGTATCCCTTCCTGCCACCACCAACAGCAGGTGCAGCATTCTACAAACCCAAAGTAATAACTCTGCTCAAATCCACCAAAGAAAGACAAAAAAAAGGAACAAAACCAATTCAGGCCTAGAGAAAAATAGCTTGGTTTCTAGGGAGAGTAAATAGTGACACAAAAAAAATGGGAAGATACTAAACAAGGAAAATGGCAAATAGAAAAACATCTTAAAAGGATGATGAGGTTTTCCTTTGCGAAGTCTGGATCTAATGTCAAGCAGAAAGTACACTACATAAATCTGTTCAAAGTATCCTGGACACACAATCCTACAGCAACAGAGAACACAGAGCTGCAATTGGTCTTGTGGGGCTCAACAAAGCAGCTTTCCTGTCTCATACAGCTCATCTTTTAACTGCAAAGTTAGCACTACTCAGTAATAAAGCAGCTGTGAAGACACTGCTGGCCATCCCCTGGACTAAGGCACAACATGGTCTTTCAGTTTCAAAGACATGTCCAACCACCTCCATTCCCAGCTATCCCAGAGCTCCCTCCTGGCCAGCACAGCCCCAAGGCCTCACCTGTCAGGGGCAGTTTGGGCCTCGTGGTGTAGAGCTGAGCAGGACTCTGGTGAGGATTCATGCCGTACCTCAGGGGCAGCTGTGACACTCCCTTGCTGTACTCCTTCCTAAAGTAGTCAGAGATGGCTGCATCGTACTGAGCAGTGTGGGTGAAGGCCTGGGGACACAATGGGGGACACTTGTCAACTTAGAAACATCAACTTACAGAGGATTTGGTGTTTAAAGATGTAAAGAACCTCTTTTAACACGAGCCTGGCCCAGCTCCTTCACGGCAGGAAAACGTGACCAACCTTGAGAGCCAGCAGCCGCCGGGTTTCCATGGCAGTGTCTTTGTCCCTTGATGCTGCCATCTCTTTGGCCACCGCAGCGTAGTCTGCAGGGTCACACACGACTGTCACACGGGCGTGGTTCTTGGCAGCTGCCCGCAGCAAGGCCACTCCCCCTGCAAGAGAGGGGCAGGCATGGAGCACTTCCCTCCTGGACACAAGGGACGTGCAGCATCGATCCTTTGTGCCAGATGAATGTGTCCCCTCCCTCCAGCACAGAGAGGGCTGAGAGTGCTCTTCAAAATGCCCAAGGCTGGTGAGTTTGACTCAATCTGCTGGTGAAGGTGCACACTGACTGGGCTTGGCAGACCCAGACAGAGCTGCAGGGGTGAGGGAAAAGGATGTGCAACTGGGGCAAGGATGTCTTCCAACAGCACAGCCACATCCCAAAGATGTCTGTCCTTACACTGGCTTAACCACCATCCTCTGCACACTGGGTCTGCAGAAAGATTTGCTTTCACGCTGCCACACAACAGAGGTTCCCAAATGTCTCTGCAAATAATAATGAATCTTGCCCAGGTCCTCTGTGTGAGATAAAATGCCACACTTCTCCCTTCAGTCTTGACTGCACTGCTTTGCAACTCTTTAAATCATACAGGGTACTAGGCTGCTGCAAAGGAAAAGTAGAGGCTGGCACTGCTTCATGCAGAGCGAGTATTACTCCATAAAACATTTAATAGAGAGCTCTGCTGGGCATCATTTGGACTAAACTACTGCAAGAAAATCCAATCCCAATCCAACCACATGGCAGAGAACCGTGCCCGTGCTGTTCACAGGCTGCCAAGCAGAGATGCTGCAGAGAAGGCACAGCAAGCCTTTGGGGTTAATAACTAGCAGCAAGAGAAAACATGCTAATGCAGGTGTCCGTGCTTCCCAGCTCAGCTCCTGAGTACTCTCCCACACATTCACCCCTTTCCTTCTAATGCCTTCCTGCAGTGAAGTTCTCACCCATCCTCGGAGCACTTTCAGTGGCTCAGCTCTGCTCTCCAAAGCTCATGTTTTTTTTACATTTCTATTACACTGTCAGGCTACAGAAGAGGTTTAGTCTGCTCTCCATGTTTCAGCAGGAAGCATGGTCCACCTGGCCCTTCCTAGCAGAGCCCTCAGGCCCCTTCTTTACAGCAGTGCATGACTTGCCCCTCGTGCAGCGTGCCTTGCCAGCCTGTTATTGCCATTTAATTGCTTAAAAGCAAGGAGGCTTACCCAGCTATGCCTTCAGCCTGCTCCTTGTAGCTCCTGAGCTCTTGAGCAGACTTCCTTTACAGGTGTGCAAAGACCACCAAACAAAAAGAGAAGAACTGAGACCACTCAGAGTTCAGAAGCATAGAGAATGTCTGGAAAGCAGATTTGCCCTCCCTTTAACTTACCAATATCAATCTTTTCCACTGCGTCCTGTACAGTCACACCGGGAGAAGACACGGTCTTCACAAAGGGGTACAGATTGCACACTACAACTCTGAGAATTGAGGGGGAAAACTGGGTTATTCAGCAAGAAATAAAAGTGCCAAACTGGGCTTGGCAAAGCACAAGATGTCACCAGTGATTTTATGGTCTCATCTCTCAGATCAGGGACCAGCATAAAATCCCGTGGCCAAGAGTGGTTCTCAGCCCAAGGGCAAGTGATGGTACAGTGTACTGTGACATTCCAGCTGAACTCCGTGTATCAAACAATGTCAGAACCACAGTCTACAGCAACCAGATTAAAGGAAGAGCTTCTTTAAATAGATGTGCCTGAAATAATATATGTTTAGTGATTTTGGTGCACAACCTGAGCCATTTCAAAGGACTTCAAAGTGGGCTCTCAGCAATACTGAAAATGGGCATCCACCAATTCTCAAAAGACAGTAACTATCCAAGAAAGGTCCATTGCTAACAAAGTACAATCAATCCAATTTTCCACAACTTTTCCAAGAACAGAAAGTGACCTACATGTCACCTTCTGGACTTTTAAAATACCAACAATATATGGAACCTGAGTGTGCAGCCCAAATGCCATAAAGCCTCTGCAGCACATGAAAGCAGGGGAGAAAATTGACTTTTCCCTCTCAAACCCAGACCAGACCTTACTGGAGTTAGTTTTTCCATCTGATCTAGAAGCAGCATGTATTCCAGCAAGCATGATGTGATAACTTGCCAGCCCCATCCTACCAGAGCCACAGCAACTGCAGTGAAACGAGGGATTTGTTCTGACCCTCACAAACAGGGGTTTTAATCCAATGGAATTAATTTTCTCTCTTGTTCTGAGTACCCTGAAGGTATCAAACTCCAAGGTGTGCTCAGTGTGGCACGGAACTGCTGTGATGAGTACCCTTGTGTCCAACTTATAGCATTCCTTTGTTCCCACTCCATGTGAACTCCAGCAGAAGGGATGATAAGTTTCCAGTATGGCTTTCAGCACCCCCTGTGTCTCTAAATTTCTTACAATGTCTTTCACTGTCTCTTCTGTTTCTAATGCCCCGTTCCCCCCCTCAATCCATTCATGCTCCTGACCTGTAGCAAACCATCAGGAATCTGTGGACTTTAACACTGCTAACGCTTTTATCTGTGCAAACCAAGACAATCGGTATCAGGCTTTCCTTCATTGACTTGCATATGCAAATTTTATGCAACTATGCAAAGGCAGTCCTGCTGAGGATCAGCTACTTTTGCTTTTTTGCAAGAGAACCTGAATCCAAATTACCAGTCTGGATGCAAGTGCACCATAAGTCATTGATGTAAGGGCATGTTATACCCCCTGCAATTCAGCAGAGCCTGCTTTAATATGCAGTGTGCTCTGAAGAGCCACCACTGCTGAGCCGTCTAAGAGGATTCCTGTGGTTTTAAATTTCAGGTTTTCAAATTCAGCCCAGAAATCCATCCATCAGTTTCTAAAAGTAATTTTAAAACTCCAGATGCATTCTGGCCCACAGTCATACTGTACCTCCAACCCTGGCTACACCTACAACTTGCTATGTCCAGCTCAGCCATTTGTTTCTGAACCAGGAGCTACTCCCTGATGTACAACTGGTTATTCACATGCAGTAGCTGGGTGTTAATATAGTTAGTTATATATATCTCCCAACTGCCCTGTGTGACTCAACTATGTAAACACATTCTAACAAAAAACTGGAAAAAACCCCAAACTTTGGTACATTAGTGCACAAACTTTGTTACTTCAGCTTCTGGATGTAGCTCACTTGCTCCCAAGACAGCTCTCAAAGTTTAAGTTTTCTGTCTCTTTATCTGTGTGTTTTCTGTCTGAACAAACGCTGTGTTCCTGACCCATTTTCCAAGTGTATTCTTTATTTATGTGTTGAAACTCAGTAAACATTATGCAAATATCAAAGGGTATATTTACTAAGCAAGCATTTCAAAATCGGGAATTGCCATCTGATCAGACACATGGAACCAACCTGAGGGAAGATGAGCCAGCTTCAAAAGTACTGCACTCGACTCTGCAACACGTGTAACATGGCCCTATCCTGACTCTGGATAACGTGTCAGAATTCCCAGGGACCCAGAAGAAATTCAGACCTCTGAGTTCCCCGTGGAAATCACAACGTAACTTTCTTGTTTTAGTTTTCTCTTACTACAAGTGGTGAAGAGGCGCCTGTAGAAAATTATATTTTTAAATCCATAGCCTGTCCTGCCAGGGTGAAGAAAGGAGACTGCAGATCTGCTGGTCTGTAGAGCTTACAATCCCTGCTGCTCCCCTTCCTTGGTGGTGACTGGGCTCTACTGTTGGTTTTTGATTACTGATGGATTGCATCACGTGCCCCAACATTTACCTTACGAGGCTGAAATCCTGTTTCTTCATATCAGCATTATCCTCTGGAATATTGCGAGCCAAGATGCCTAGTTACAAAAAACAGTGCATCTTCATTAAAAAATAACTAAATTACCAACAGATGTTTTTAATTCAGCATCTCACTTCACACTGTGCTTCTGTGCTCAGAGCCTTTCTCTCTTAACTTTTTCATTTTAGTTCAGACAGCACCCTCAGCCCCTGCTCCTTTATTCCACTTTACAGAGCCTTTGGCTGTTCAAATTCCATGCCAACAGGTATTCTTCCCCCAGTGCTAAATCCTAGAGTATTCCAAATAATGACCAGCAACCTCAACAGTGGACATTCTAAGCACTCGCTTGCTACCCTTGAAACACTGAAACCATCATCAAGGACTTCACGGGAGAGAAAAAGGGCACCTGCCCTATGAGACAAGGGAAGCAAGAGAGCATGAGCAGTGTAGGTGGCTGGTGGGGTCTAAGAACTCCCAGAAACATGAGGCTGACAGGCTGGCACAGTGTGAGGGACAGCACAGTCCCGGGTTCAGAGTCACGGGACATTGTCTCCAGCCCTCACATACGATGGGCAACAGGTTCCACTTGAGGTGCCTCAAGCACAGCAACAGGAAATGATAAGAGCAGATGGATTAATGTGCAGGCAGACCAGTTTTTAGAGATCCTCCCTGCTGAAGACAAGTCAGAGAACATCAGAGCATGCAGAAATCAGCCCTAAAGCCTACATTATTGTGTTCCTTGCGCTGCACACCCACAGGTCCGTGGAGCTCCCTGCCCCAGCACATCTGCAGCTGACTCTGCAAAGGCATTTACAGAGAAGCTCTGTTACTTATAGCCCCAGGGAAAGAGCTCTGCTAACTGCAGAGATGCCAGCATAGCAACAAGGAGGTAATTCAGCCACCCTGCACTTCACCCCATGGCTTTTCACCTCTCCTTCTGTTCCCAGAGAAAACCTGTTCTCATTACTCGGTTCTTCCACACCACCCTTAAAAAAGGCAGCTGTTAACAACTCCTTCCCACCCTCCCTGCCCTCTTTCAGACTGAAAGATGTATTAGCAGAAACATACCAGCATGGACTGCAGGATGAAGGGTTTTCACACGCCCACCCAGCATCTCAGGGAAGCCTGTCAGGTCCGAAACATCTCTGCCCAAAGAAGAAAACAGCACAATAACAGATGTGCCATACTGACTTCACCTAGAGGCTGAATGAGCCAAACCAAAGAAATTGTACAGATTTCACTACATAACCTCCCTATGCCAAAGGGGTAACAACTGCTTTTCCCATGGCTGAAAACAGAGCTCGTGGGTCACACCCAACTAAGCAGTACGGCTGTTTCTTGAATACACCGGAACAACCAAAATAAACACATAATTTTCATTTGACCCCAAGTCAAAATGGAGAATGGAAAAGAATGATAGAAGAGAATGATTATAGAGAGAATGAAAGGCCATGTGGAGGTGCTCATCCTCCCAGCTTAGTTTCACCACTCCTTGTGACTGTTTAGGTTGATAATAACAAAAATGAGAGATGGGGAAATGTAAGCACCCTTCGCTTCAGGCTTCACTGACAGCACAGCCAAGGAAGTTGGAGAGACACAACCAAGTACTGGGTAACAGTGAGCTCTGGGGGTGATGTAGATTTGTGCTGATGTGTCTCAGGGGCCAACCACTGAATTCACAGGGAGCAAAAATGGAGTCAATCACCTATCCTGCCAAGTAATTGACATTTTTTTCACCATTGCACCGAAACCTGTTTTCATTTGGCCAGAGCTCTTTTTTAAATCACAGCATGGAAGAAACCAGAACAGATTTCCTCAGATTCATGGGCTAAAACAGCCAGTGACTGTACCTGACCTTCTTCCAACAGTGGATGCACAACTCTTAAAGGCTCTGTCTGCATTAAGTGATCGTGCTGGGAAAATTATTTGTGACCAGTGAACTCCAGCAAGCTTCAACATGCTCCTGACATATCAGTGCTGTCCCAGGACCAGGCAAAGATCAGCTCTCACCTGGCTGTGAGGAGCTGCACTCAGGGCAGATTATGAACATCAAAGTAACAGATTATCCCATGGAAACAAAGCTGGCTCAAGGCAGAATCCCAACAAAAAGCTTCAACACCTCTCTGCACAGTAACACTCATCAGCCTCAGCCAACCCAGGGCAAAAAGGCCCTGAAGTTTGCTTTGGGGCAGGGTTTTCTTTTCTTTTTTCAAAGGGAAGACATGCTTTCAGACCGGTTTTCACTCAGTTTTCTTCACAGAGAGAACAATATAAGCAACCTCAGGGCCCAAAAGAGCATTTTTGGTGGTGATGTACAGGAGAGTGTGTGTACCTGACAGGCAAGCCAGCATCCCTCAGGGATTTGGCTGTTCCTCCGGAGGCAATTAAACCCAGGCCAAGCGAATTCAGGCTCTTCGCAAATTCCACCAGGTTGGTCTTGTCAGAGACGCTGAGTAAAGCTGGCAGGCGGGAAGAGCACGAGTGTTTAGGTTTTAACAGCGGAACAGAAAAAAACGACAGGATTAAGCGAGTGAAGCTTTTATAAGCTCCGTAGTTTAGGAGTGTATGCGGTGCCGGGGGAAGGGAGCACCAGAGCCTCGCTGTTCCCCTCAGGGGAAGCCGCCCCTCAGGCGAGCCCCGAGCCCTGAGGGCCTCGTTCCCAGCGCGGGCCCGGGCGCCTCAGCGCCTCTCCGCCGCCCGAGCCCCGCACCGGGAACGAGGGACAGCCG